AAAGTTGCCTCAACAAAAGGGCACTTTGGGCACTCATCAGGAAAGGGGCGGGTGCTCAAGCCCCTCTAGCCCCCCCCCTCTGCACGTCCCTGCCCTGTGGCATCAATATGTTCATCTAGTTGGCTGTTTCCTCACATGTTTTTACTTCCCTGATCACCTCCTGTGTGATCCACTAATACTAATCAATTTCATGTAAGACAGAGTATCATTATAGTAGTGTTTAAAATTTAGGCTTTTGGCTAATGTATTTGCATTTGTGGAAATAAAATTTAGCTAAGGTAACTAACAAGTTTATTATAAAGTATACCGGTACATCTTTTTTGCCTTCAAAAGAAACAAAATACAACATTTTCCAATTTCAGAGTAAAGTCCTTGTAGAGCTGTCCAGTAATGAATTTACTGAAGTCTTTCCAAGACGTTCTAGCATGTGAACAGATTCAGAAGAGGTGCTGCACAGTCTCAGGTTGACTTCCACAAAATCCACAGTTCAGATTTATGTCCCTTTTGAACTTTGTCATATAATGATTAGCAGGATAATATTTATGAAGTATTTTGAATGAAACTTCTTTTACTTTATTGGGTACAAGATGCTTATTAGGAATTGTCCATACTCTTTTCCAAGTAATGTCACTGACAAAAGACTTCCAATAAGAAATCACGTATGGAATAAACAGAGATTCTCTCTGGAACAAAGCACAAAGACTCTTATTACCTTTACTATGGTTTGTAGACAGACTCTTCCTATGTGTGAATCCACAGGATTGGGGAGAGAAACAGGTGATATACAAGGTTGAATTTCTTTAAATATAAGAGACCATGCAAATAGAACTCCAAATTCACACTTCACACAGTCTGCTCCCACAGACCGTGACACAATACAACTCCAGCAGAATGAATTTGATTCAACATTTGGCTGAAGCTGCCTCAGACTTTCTGCTGAAACAAATTTGGTATTGCTACCACTGAATATTCTGGATATATTATCATCAGCCCATTATCATCAATGGAGCTCCAGTGGAGAGGGTGCAGTCCTTCAAGTATCTTGGTGT